CATACCACCTTCGCACTTCTACTCGAAAGTTTATTTTTATTTCTTTCATCTTTCAGTTATTTCAGTTATGAGATGGTGTATGCGAATTGCCGCATATTGCTCTCACACCACCTTCGCACTTCTACTCGAAAGTCTATTTTTTATTTCTTTCATCATTCATCGTTTAATTTAGTTTATCTTTTTTTCTTTCAGGTATGAGAAATGCCACATACATACAACAAACAACAAAATTATAATAAAATGCAAAAAAATAATAATAATAATAATGTATTACATGAATCATTAAAGAACTATTGTGTCTGGTTCTGTACTAAACTGAAAAATTTGTAGAGCAATTTTGTGCCGCATTGCTTTAGCCAACTGATAGTTAGATTTCTTGAAACACATCGTCCTCGTGAGCAATGTTCGTACCATCTCCACAGCGCATACACCACAATTAATTCTATCATGTTGCAAGATAGTATTTTTGGGGTCCTTGAATTCCAATTCGAACTTTTTGCTCACTCTCTCTACATCCGCATACGTCGCAACCAATGAAATTAGATTTTGGATTTTTTGGAGTCCTTTGACGCGATTTTCGCGAATGTGCTCGTTCTTCTTTTCTAAATACGTATGCCGTAGAGGGTCAAACACACTTATCGTCCCCTTGAGTAACGAGATCTTGACAGTCACGTAGTGGTTGGACAAATTCACTACTCCAATAATCTGTTGCATTGAGTTGTGAGAAATTCACTAATTTTTTAGGAAAGATTGCAATAGTAATTGATTCGGAATCATTGAAAACTTACATATTTAATCCCCTTCCAAGGACACGGATTCCCCCAACCACTGACCCCCTCACTCGCAATGCGAATCAAAGATCGGAGGGCGTCCGATTCCAGGTCCACTCCCCCCTTATCCATCTCCTTCTCCAATTCATCCAGCATCATCTATATAAAATACAACAAAATAATAAATAATAATGTTATTAATATAATTATTAATAAAAATAGAATGACAAGAAAAAGAGAAAGGATTAAAATAATCTCACAAAAAACATAGTCGGCACGATAGTGTAAGTGCCCAACATATCTTGCCGTGGCTCCAAGTCCAAAAAGAGTGGATTGCTTTGCATAATCCCCAAGTATGCATTCACGTGCTGTTTTATAAAATCAAACCAAACATCATCCATCAATTCATAACATAGCACCTACCCTCTCTGAACGAGCTTTTATATGTTAAGATATTACAAGACAAACATATGCATACCTATCGTTTAGGCCACTATTTTTAGTGTGTCTCTCAGTTTATTTTCTACCCGTTGGTAGGCTCGTCGATTCTGTACTGAACCTTGTTATTGTTTATATGAGTATCCCTATCGTTTGAAAAAAAAAAAAAAAACATATGCATACCTCGTCCTCCATCATTTCATTCGGATTAACCAATTCCTGAAACCACCCCTTGCCCACCTCATATGGAATGCCAACATTCCTCCTATTAAATAATATAATAGAAATTTATTTTTTATAAATATAAACAATAAAATATCTTTTGGATGTACTTACATTTCCTTATTCGTGGATTTGAGGAACCGTTCAAACTCGCCCATATTTTCGGCATACCGTCTGTTCTCCTCGGTTCGGTATGGACTACTTACAACAGCACGTCCTGGTCGTCTTTGTCGATCAAATTTAATCTCCAAAGACGAGGACTGCGGAGAAGAAGTGGACTGCAACACCGGTGTCTCGGAGGTGGAGGGGGGAGCGACGGGTGTCTTGGAGGTGGTAGCGACGACTG